AAGACAGAAAAGGACACAGGGGGATTAAAGATCTAAATGTAAGACCAGAAACTATAAAACTCCTAGAGGAGAACATAGGCAAAACCTTCTCCGTCATAAATCACAGCAGGATCCTCCATGACCCACCTCCCAGAATATTGGAAATAAAAGCAAAAATAAACAAATGGGACCTAATTAAACTTAAAAGCTTTTGCACAATGAAGGAAACTATAAGCAAGGTGAAAAAAGACAGCCCTCAGATTGGGAGAAAATAATAGCAAACAAAGCAACAGACAAAGGATTAATCTCAAAAATATACAAGCAACTCCTGAAGCTCAATTCCAGAAAAATAAATGACCCAATCAAAAAATGGGCCAAAGAACTAAACAGACATTTCTCCAAAGAAGACATACAGATGGCTAACAAACACATGAAAAGATGCTCAACATCACTCATTATCAGAGAAATGCAAATCAAAACCACAATGAGGTACCATTACACGCCAGTCAGGATGGCTGCTATCCAAAAGTCTACAAGCAATAAATGCTGGAGAGGGTGTGGAGAAAAGGGAACCCTCTTACATTGTTGGTGGGAATGCAAACTAGTACAGCCGCTATGGAGAACAGTGTGGAGATTTCTTAAAAAACTGGAAATAAAACTGCCATATGACCCAGCAATCCCACTTCTGGGCATACACACCGAGGAAACTAGATCTGAAAGAGACAGGTGCACCCCAGTGTTCATCACAGCACTGTTTATAATAGCCAGGACATGGAAGCAACCTAGATGCCCATCAGCAGACGAATGGATAAGGAAGCTCTGGTACATATACACCATGGAATATTACTCAGCCATTAAAACAAATTCATTTGAATCAATTCTAATGAGATGGATGAAACTGGAGCCCATTATACAGAGTGAAGTAAGCCAGAAAGATAAAGGCCATTACAGTATACTAACACATGTATATGGAATTTAGAAAGATGCAAAACAGAAAAAGAGACACAGATGTACAGAACAGACTTTTGGACTCTGTGGGAGAAGGCAAGGGTGGGATGTTTCGAGAGAACAGCATCGAAACCTGTATATTATCTAGGGTGAAACAGATCACCAACCCAGGTTGGATGCATGAGACAAGTGCTCGGGCCTGGTGCACTGGAAAGACCCAGAGGGATCGGGTAGAGAGGGAGGTGGGAGGGGGGATTGGGATTGGGAATACATGTAAATCCATGGCTGATTCATGTCAATGTATGACAAAAACCACTACAATATTGTAAAGCAATTAGCCTCCAACTAATAAAAATAAATGGGAAAAAAAAAGGACACAGGGTCACCTTTTCTTTCTATTTCACTGTTTTCAGGAAGTAGTTGGCTAATACAGGAATGTAATAGTAGTACATGATAGGATTCCTTGATCATTCGTGTATCTTAGAATACCACTGCCTCTGTCTACATTCAAGGCAAGTTCCATTTAAGTGGGAAGCCTGGCCTCTTGGGGTTGTTAGAGACCCTGCTTACTTGCTTATAGACATATCATACTTACCTTGTACACACCATCAGGGAAATTTGTTCAATGCATTCTTGTATTGGAACCCCATTCTCTGGATCCTAAGCTTTCCTGTTTCTTGTTCATTTTTCCCTCTAGTGACTTTCTGACAAAGTTCAAGAGAGGTAAATTTTTTGAGACTTTTTATGTCTGAAAATATATTTATTCCATCCTCACTCATGATTAATTGTCAAAGTAGAGAATTTTAGGTTGAATATCATTTTCAGTTAGAATTTTGAAGGCTTCCTTCACTGGAATCATGGCTTCCAGGACTGTTTAGAAGTCCCGAACCATTCTGATTTCCTCGTCCTTGGATACATGTTGTCTTTTCTTCCGTGGTTCTCTGAAATAGTCTGTGCACATGCCTGGCTGTGATTCTTTTTCATTTATTATTCTTAGTTCTTGGTGGTCTCTTTCCATTTAGAAACTAGGTTCTTTATAAAATAGTTTCTTCATTCTTTCTCCCTTCTCTATTTCAGGAAGGCCTCCTTAAGACTGTTCTTCTTAGGCCAAGCATCTAATTTTCTAATCTTTTCGTTGATCTATCTTTTTGTCCTTTGTTCTACTGTTGGGGAGATTTTTAAAAGTTTATTTTCCAACCAATCTGTTAACATTTGGTTGTGGAAGTTAGCTTTTAATCCCAAGATCTCTTTCTTTTTAGTCTCTAGCTCACCTTTGATGATATTCTATTCGTATTTCAAATATGCAGTATTTTTGTTACTTCTAAGGATATTAATTATACTTACTTTCTTTTTTAAAGTTTTCTTCAGCTTCTTTGATTATCTGTTTCCGAGAGTGCTATTTTTTGCTTCTTTCTTTGAATCTTTGTCTTTCACATTGCAGTATTTTTCAGTGTAAGGTGGTCTTTGAAATTCTGTTCATTTTCAAGAGGAAGGCCTTAAGTATTTGAAAGTTCTGTGTGTATGTGTGTGTATTTCATTCCAGGGCGGTTGTCAGGTGAGTTTCTTTTGTGGAAAACACTCAAATACCTGTATCTTGAGTTCTTTTCTCCAGGATTTTTCAGCTTCCCTAGAGAAGGCCCCAATAACCAGAGTTGGCTACATAATTTGCAGGGCCTAATGCAAAATGAAAATGTTGAAGTCCTTGCTCAAATTCAGGAAAAAGTTCAGCTAGAGGTACTAAAGCCTCAATATTTTTCTTTAAAAACATTTCATTACTTCTATAGTAGAGGTGATAATGATACACGTCTAATAACAGAAACTTACAAGTCAAAAAAACATTTTTTTAAATCCTGGTTTTATGTAATACAATAAATTAATGCTTTATTAAAGTGATTTCTTGATTGATCAGCATGTTTTTCTGGCTTGCTTTTCTGAAAATTCACTTATTAGCTTATGAAAATTTATATTTTTATCAACTGCATTTTCAATCTATATAATTGAAAGGGATGTCAGTAATTCTTGGCAAATGCAAGATCTCTCAAGATCTTAAATAATCTCAAATGAAGAAAACAGCATGGAGCAAAGACCAAAATGGAGGAGAGGGAAAGAAGGAGTAAAATAAAAGAATGGACAAGTCAGGCAGGTAGAAGAAGAGTCTGAAATGTCAGGAGAAGAAGCTTCAGCTAGTCTATGGTTGATGGATTTAAACTGAAAAAGAGTAGAGGAAGGAAAGAAATACTCATTGACTACCTACCATTGACAAGCATAATTGTGTATCATATTTAGCTACCATTCAACAGTATCTGAACAATACAAGTAATGGCTCCATCTTAGTAATGAAAAACCAAGGCTCAGAAAGAATGAACTTTGCATTAGTACCACAGTTAGAAAAAATGACAGAACTGATATGTGAATGCTGATATATCTGCCTCAACAGCCCAAGTTCTGTCAATTACATGAATGGTGTGGTACTTCAGGACTGGTACCTTGGCCTCCTGACCATGATGGAAAGGAAAAAGACTCGAAACCAAAATTCCAATTAAGGTTCTAAGAACTGAGCTGAAAGAAAATGATAGTGACAAAGACAAGGAAAAGAGAAAAATTCTTCAAGAGAAACTGCAGAAGTAGATTCAATAGGACCTAGTGAATTACTGGAGACAGCTGGTATAAAATGAGAGCAATTAAAATTTTTCTTAATAATCATGAGATGACTCAGGGTAATTCTACCAACAAATAACAGAGAAGGATGCCAAAGAACAAAGTTTGATGACAAGGTGACTGAGTTGAAAGTCATGACAGAACATCCAAGTAGGAATGTCTGATGGGCACAGTAAGGAATGTTTCCAGAAAGGGGAAGAAGCCATTATTAGACAATATGAAACCATTCACATAGAGCCAAAGCCACAAGAAGGGATGAGATCACTGAGGGAGAGAGGGTAGGAAAAAAGATCGTGAGTACAAAACTGTAAAGAATGACAAATTTTAGACCATTTTTTCAGAATCTATGAGTGGAAGAAAGAAAAGGAGCAGAGATGTAGCTGTATTCTTGAAAGCAATGGTTTAGGACTCAGTTAGACTCAGGTGGTCAGTATCAAATGTGTCCAAGAGGGTGTAGAAGAAGAAATATGAAAAATGATAACTGGATTTGAGATGTAGGGTAATTAGTAATTTTTGTGGGATAAGTTTCAGTTAAATGATGAGATTAAAATTCAGGGATGAGTAGGAAGTGAAAAGTGGAGGAAATGAACGCAGAAAATTTTTCTAGAAATAATGACAGGAAGAAACGTAGGAATACAAGAAATTCAGAAATAGAACAGGAATATCAGGTCATAGTCTAGTCCCTTCATTTTACAGATGAAGAAACTGAGACCCACAGAGGTTAACCAATACTGTTATTTAACCTGGTTAGAAAAGAGCTTAGACAGAAAACCAATAAAGATGGAATGGTAACTCAGGAGGGATAAGAATCAAGAGAAGACTATCTGTCTTCAAAGAAGAGCCCATTTAATTCCTCGATTTTCATTTTGTACCTGGCCTTCTTCCTCTGGTACCATGAACCCACTGGTTCTTGAAATTATTTTTGATCTATCCAAAAGGATCATTATTACCTATAGAAAACCATGACTATGATGGCTCACTTACTGGAGAAAAAGCAAAGTTATTGGTTTGAGCAAGGGAAAAAGAAATTTGTGTATCACACTATTTCATTCTTACAGGAACTTTATAGTCCTAAGGCCTGTTAGACAGGAAGGATTACTCAAGCTAAATTTGAAATGCCTCACTATAATAATCTCGATAATACTCCTCCCTTTCTCATTTTGGAGATAACAAATAACCCTAAGGTAACTATCCACCTACAGAAATGGACACATTAGGGTAAAGGCATTCATTTAAGAAAAAAGCACCTAATTATGAATACTTCAGATGAGCTGGCAAACACCATTTTGCTATGGGTAGCAGAGTTCACCAAGAAACACCCTGATAATGTGTATATAAAGGTACATGAAACTGTTCGAGTAGGACATTTGCCATCAGAGCTTCCCTCCAGAAAGAAGCAGGGCAGTCTAGACACCATGAGCGTGCGCTTTTCTTCTGCATCCAGGCGCCTTGGCTCCTGTGGGGGAGCTGGCTCTGTGCGGCTCTCCAGTGGGGCAGCCGGCTTTGGGGTCGGCAGCACAGGCTTTGGAAGCGGCTTCACCTGCGCCTTTGGAGGAAGCTCCTCTGCAGGAGGCTACAGCGGAGCGCTGGGCGGAGGAAATGCTTCCTGCGCTGCCTTCACTGGAAATGAACATGGCCTCCTCTCCGGCAATGAGAAGGTGACCATGCAGAACCTCAACGACCGCCTGGCCTCCTACCTGGACAACGTGCGCGCCCTGGAGGAGGCCAACGCCGACTTGGAGCAGAAGATCAAGGGCTGGTATGAGAAATTTGGGCCTGGTTCCTGCCGCGGTCTCGATCACGATTATAGCAGATACTTTACGGTAATTGACGACCTTAGGAACCAGGTAAGAAATACAGTGCCATGAGGTTTAGTACCTGTAAGGGTAATTAGCCACACAGGCACAGATGCCTAAATTATCACAGCAAGGCTTTGCTCTCAGCTGCTAATTTTAGGTAGTTTATTAATATTAAAGCTAATTTATATTAAAATTCTGGTCTTCAAACATGGCTCACTCATCATCTGATATGTGGTATGCATGTTTATGCTTTCAGAAATACTAAAATATCAAAAACTGCCCAATGTCTCCAGTTATATATTTACATAGAAAGTTTTCCATAGAAAGTTTTTTTCTTTTTTAATGGGTAAGATAGAGAGTAAAAGAGGCTATACTTAAATTTTCTATTTTCAAGGATCATCTTCTTGTTAGAGACAGGATGCCAAAAATATTGCATAATTTTATAGTTGACTTTATTTCAAGGAAATATGAATTTTTAAAAATATTTCCTCATTCTTAACTAATTCTCCATTTATCAGATAATTTCTGCAACAACAAGCAATGCCAATGTTGTCCTGCAAAATGACAATGCAAGGCTCACAGCTGATGACTTCAGACTAAAGTAAGTGGAGCTGAAAAGAAACCAGAACAGTTGCCTAAGCCTTTCCCTCTTTTATTTAGGCTATTTGAGGTCATCTCCATTCTTTGAGTTTATTTGTTTTAAACCAAATGCATGTTCGAATGACTCACTGAATTATATATATTTATTGGGAAATTGGGGGACTGACACAAATGAATGCCAAAGTCATACAAAAGGGAATTTTGAGTTTTCTCATTCTCTTGTGTCAAAGAAATTTATTTACTTTTATGATTATGAATGATCTACCTGAAGTTTGGAGTATATTTTAACAGTTGGACTTAAAAGCTTAGTTTGAAGGGTTTTTTGTTTTGTTTTATACAGTTTCTGCCTTAACCTTTTTTAATATCCTTTCTGAGTTTATTATATTTTATTCTATTTGCCATGCCTTGTGGCATGTAAGATAATTAGTTCCTCCAACAGAGATGGAACCCCCCGCAGTGCAAGTGCAGAGTCTTAACCAGGAGACCAGCAGTGAAGTCCCTTAGCTTGAGTTTTATGATGACCTAAAAGGTGGTGGTGGGGCTTCCCTGGTGGCTCAGAGGGTAAAGAATTTGCCTGCAGCACAGGAGACCCTGGGTTCAATCCCTGGATTGGGAAGATCCCCTGAAGAAGGGAATGGCTACCCACTCTAGTATTCTTGCCTGGAGAATTCCATGGACAGAGGAGCCTGGAGGGTTACGGTCCACGGGGTGGCAAACAGTGGGACACAACTGAGTGACTTAACACAAAAGGTGATGACTGATGTGATGACGCTTTCAAATATTTTTCTAAGGTTTGAAAATGAACAGGCCCTCCACCAGAGCGTGGACGCGGATGTCAGCAGTTTGCGCCGGGTCCTGGACGAACTGACTCTGTGCAGAACGGACTTAGAGATTCAGCTGGAGACACTCAGCGAGGAGCTGGCGTACCTCAAGAAGAACCATGAGGAGGTAGGTGGTCTCTCTCCCCTGTTTAAAAATGTTTAAAAAATACGTTTCAGATGACAAATATAATATCTTGAATTCAAGAAATTGTTGATTTCTCCATATGGCTTAGATGGTCTGAAATGTTTCTGTTCATCTCCCTCCAAAGAAACCCTAACAGAAGTTTCTAACCATATGGATCGTGTCTGTCTGGCTCCTTCATATATATTCCAATCCCAATGGTTTCTTTTAGGAGATGAAGGCTCTGCAGTGCGCGGCCGGAGGCAACGTGAACGTGGAGATGAATGCGGCACCCGGCGTGGACCTCACGGTTCTGCTGAACAACATGCGGGCCGAGTACGAAGCCCTGGCCGAGCAGAACCGCAGGGACGCAGAGGCCTGGTTCAACGAAAAGGTAAAAAGCAAGCTAGGGTGCGCTGACTTGGCACCCGGTGCTGATGCAAGCATCGCTCATAACAAGGCCCATAATGTTTCAGAGCGCTTCGCTGCAGCAGCAGATTTCTGATGATGCTGGCGCCACCACCTCAGCTCGGAATGAACTGACGGAGATGAAGCGTACTCTTCAAACCCTGGAGATTGAACTTCAGTCTCTCTTAGCGACAGTAAGTAAAAATGACACCAAAGAGTTGCTTCAGAAGTCGAGGGGAAAAAATTAGAGTTTTTCTGCCACCTGTTATTATTAATTTTCACTTTTATTCAGTCATTACTCTGCCTGAAATAAGATACATTTGCATTTTTTCACAGTGGAATATCTTTGGCCTGAAAATTATACCAAGATGCTAATAATTGTGAAATGTTAGAATTAAAAAATACAATGATTTTTTAGGTACTCAAAAAGAAACAGGGGCTAAGACTCTGCACTCCCAATGCAGGGGACCCAGGTTCCATCCCTGGTCAGGGGACTAGATCCCACATGCTGCAACTAAAGATCCCACATGTTACAACTAAGACTTGGCACAGCCAAATAAATAAATAAAAATAAATAGTAAAAAAGAAGAAAACAGTTTTTACCCTGAGTCTTCTCTCCCACTTCAGAAGATGAAAAATCACTGTTCATGGAGTGCAAAAACACACTTGCACCCATCCTAGTTTCTTTATCTAGCATTCCTTTGGGCCACTTAATTTTAATTGGAACACTTACAGGTTCCCTTTTAAAGGACATAAACAAGCAAAGTAGAGGCATGAAGGCTGAACATAAAGCTAAACATGCATGACAATAATATTAATAATAACCTTTTTCATTAAGGGTCGCCCAGCACTTTCACCCACGTGAGTTCACAATAACCCTGGGTCTTGGGCAGACCAGACTTTATATTTCATGTTATTATTTCCAAGAGAAGAATCTGAGGTTCAAAGAAGTTAAGCAATTTTCCAAGAGTCCCACAGTCAGATACAAAGGTACCCGAACTTCTCTCCAAATTTTCTAACTCCCAAGTCTATACTTTTTCCACTGTGGCTAGTAAACTTCCAGAAGAGGCTATAAATATATGTAAAATTCTTGCAGGTAGAAGAATAAGACACTCTCATAGTCATCCCATGTAAAATTACAGCAAGCACCCATCTGTGGAATAAACCCATAAAGCCAATGAGTCAAACTATTTAAAGCCTAAGAACACCACTCTTTTCTTGGGATCATTCTACTTTCAGAAAATTTATGCAGAGGTTACTTTTTTAAAGTTTCTTTAAAATGTATTTTTAGCTGCATTCAGTCTTCATTGCTGCACGTGGGCTTTCTCTATTTGTGGCGAGCAGGGACCACTTTCTGGTTGCAGTGTGCAGGCTTCTCATTACAGTGGTTTCTCTTGTTGTGGAGCATGGGCTCTAGGGTGCAGGCTCAGTAGTTGTGGCACATCCCCTGCATTGTCACGCAGATTCTTAACCACTGCACCACCAGGAGAATCCCAGGATTACTTCTTTAATGTAACAGCTATAATCCTCATGACACAAAGCTGCCACACGATTAGAAATGAGTTCACAAAATGTAGGGGGACTTTAATTCCTGGAAAAAGTGGCAAACTGTACCAAAGCACAGGGTAAGTGAGAGGGGACAGATCTTTAGACTGTGTCCTAAGAGAAAACAAATTTTCTAACACTCATGGGGATATGAGTAGCATTTACCACCAACTGTGCTATTCTCCAATAGATTAAAAATAGTATGACATCTAATAAGGGCAACAATTAATATTAAACAAGAGGAATACAGTTATTATGTAAGGATAACTCTCTCAATATCTAAGTGCTTTGAAATATCCTAAAACAGTGACATCATCTACTAAATTGTCTCACTGATCCTCAGAAACACTCACTGGAGTGCTCCTTGACGGAGACGGAGGGCAACTACTGTGCACAGCTGGCCCAGATCCAGGCTCAGATCGGAGCCCTAGAGGAGCAGCTGCACCAGGTCAGGACCGAGACCGAGGGCCAGAAACTGGAGTATGAACAGCTCCTGGACATCAAGGTCCACCTAGAAAAAGAAATCGAGACCTACTGCCGCCTGATAGATGGAGAGGATGGGTAAGTAGTATTTACACTGAAAAAACAATTTTAAGATTATTAAAGACTTTTTTTGAAATCCAAATACAAAGTGTCTATGATCTAGGTCATGTGTACATAAACTCCTCCTAGTGTTAAGAGTTCCGTTATCTCCCATATTAAATCATTCATCTTAAATCAGTTTCTTGCAAAACAATGTGAAATATCTAATACATACTTTATGTTTTTACAGCTCTTGCGCTAAATCCAAAGGCTATGGTGGGCCAGGAAATCAGATAAAAGGTAAACAAAAGCTGGGTTGAGCATTCAACATTTGTATATGTTTCAAGGAATGAGTTATTTCCCCTTTATGAATTTGATAAATTCTAACAATTCATGTCTCATTTAACTTTTTTCTTTTTTTAAAGTGAAGTAGAGTTGATTTCCAATGTTGTATTAAGTTCTGCTTTACAGCAAAGTGATTCAATTATATATACATACATATACATATTCTTTTTTTAATATTAGTTTCCACTGTGGTTCATCATAGATTACTGAATATAATTCTCCATACTATACAGTAGGAACTTGTTGTTTATCCATTCTGCATATAAAAGTTTACATCTGCCAAGCCCAACCTCCCAACCCATCCAACCAAACCCCTCCCCCTAGGTGACCACCAGTCTGTTCTCTGTATCCCTGATTCTGTGTCTGTTTCGTAGATAGGTTCATTTGTGTCATCTTTTAGATTCCCCACATAAGTGATGTCATATGCATTGTCTTTCTTGTTTTGACTTAATTCACTTAGTATGATAATCTCTAGTTGCCTCCATATTACTGCAGTATATATGTCATTTTAGATCCATCTAAAGCCACCATAGTTAAAACAATTGTTGAAGAAATAGATCCTCGTGGCAAAGTTCTATCATCTAGAGTTCACACTGTGGAAGAGAAGCCCACCAAAGTCAACAACATGAAGAGTGAGCAGAGGGTGCCTTCCTGAGCCCAAAAGGATGCCCTAAATCAAAATATGAAATCAAAGCTGGGTTCCTAAATAAGAGCCCTGATTTCTCTGCTTTTCTTCCCATGAACTTTAAAAAAAATTATTTTTAGAATAGTAACATTTCTTTGGCTTTCTCTGTGGTGGTGTTTCAATAAAAGTTCTTCCTCTTGCAAGTCATCCTCACTGGTTCTGGTCAGTCTTTGCATTTTAAATATACCCACCCCCAACCCCCACACCCCTGCGCCCTAGCCACCCCCCCCCCGCCCCCCACCAACAGAAGCTGAATTTGTTTTTAATTTATTCTCTTTAATGCAATGGTCCTCACAAGTTAGGTGTTAAGTTTAACAGGCAAAAAACTAGTTGGTGTCTTTTTCATATCTTTGTCAAATTTTAAACCTTCCTTCCTTCAGTAAATAGTTGTTGAGCATATACTACCAACAGTAAGAGTAATAAAATCCAGTCACTGGGAAGACCCAGAGGGATCAGGCGGAGAGGGAGGTAGGAGGGGCGATCGGGATGGGGAATACATGTAAAACCATGGCTGATTCTTGTCAATGTATGACAAAAACCACTACAATATTGTAAAGTAATTAGCCTCCAACTAATAAAAAAAAAAAATCCAGTCACTGAGTGCAACACACTCATTGAAGTGGAAATATAAGGAACTGAAGTATCAGAAATAAATGACATAAAGACTAGAATGACATTAGAAAAGGTCAACAAAACTGAGTTGGGTTTTTTTTTTTTTAAGATAAAATTGACAAATCTTTAACTAGACTAACCAAGAAAAAAAGAGAGAGAACTCAAATAAATAAAAGTTTCAATGAAAAAGAAGACATTACAACAGGTGCCTGAAATACAAAGGATCATAAGAAAACACTAGAGAGACTTCCCTGATGGTCCAGTAGCTAACACTTCATGCTTCCAATGCAGGACACCCAGGTTCTATCCCTGCTGAAGGATCCCACATGCTTCAACTAAGAGTTTCCATGCTGCAACTAAGACCCAGCACAGACAAATAAATATATAAAAAAGAAAATACAAGAATATTTATATACCAACAAAATGGATAATTTAGAAGAAACAAATTCTTAGAAACATACAATTTACATAGACTGAATCATGTAGAAATAGAAAATTTGAACAGACCAATAATGAATAAAGAGATTGAATTGGTAATCATACCCTCTCAGCAAAGAAAAGCCCAGGACCAGGTGGTTTCCTGGTGAATTCTACCACTTAAAGAAGAATCAATGCCTATCTTTCTTAAACTCTTCCAAAAAATTAAATAAGAGGGAAATTTTATAAACTCATTTTACAAAGCCAGCATTACCCTGATACCAAACACAAAGACACTACACGGTAATAAAATTATAGGTCAATATCTCTGATGAACATAGGTGCAAAAGTCTTCAACAAAATATAATCAAACAAATTCAAGAGTATATTAAACAGGTCATAAACCATGATCAAGTGGGATTTATCCCTGGGCTGCAAGATGCTTCAATACATACAAATCAATAAATGTGATATATCACATTAACAGAAGGAAGGATAAAAATCATATGATCATCTCAATAGAGGCCAAAAAAACATATGACAAAGTTCAAACCCTTTCAGGATAAAAATACTCAAAAAATTTGGTATAGAAGGATGTATTCCAATACAACAAAGGCCATATATGACAGTCCCACAGCTAGTATCAAACTTAATGGTGAAAAGCTTAAAGCTTTTCCTCTAAGATCAGGAACAAAAATCTTTTCTTCTAAGATCATGTCCACTCTTGCCACTTTTATTCAATACAGTACTGGAAGTCCTAGCCAGAGCAATTAGGTAAGAAAAAGAAATAAAAGGCATCCAAATCCAAAAGGAAGAAGCAAAATTGTCTCAGTTTGCAGATGACATGATCTTAAATATAGAAAACCCTTAAAACTTCCTCAAAAAACTATCAGAACTAATAAATTCAGCAAAGTTGCAGGATACAACTCAACATTTTTAAAAAATAAGTTACAGTTTTATATACAAACAAATTATCCAAAAAAATTAAACAATCTTATTTACAATAGCATAAAAAAGAATAAAATACCTATCAATAAATTTAATCAAAGAGATAAAATATTTGTACACTGAAAACTATAATTTTATAGCAGAGTAATTATAGTAGCAATTATAGCAGAGGCAAATAAATGGAGAGACATTCAAGTTCACAGATTGGGAGAATTAATATTGTTAAAATGTTTCTACTACCAAGATGCTCTACAAATTCAAACAATCCCTATCAAAATCCCACCTGTATTTTTTTACAGAAATGGAAAAAAATCCTAAAATTCATAGAGAAACACAAAAGACTCTTGATAACCAAAGCAATTTTGGGAAAGAACAAAGCTGAAGGCATCACACTTCCTAATTTCAAAATATATTACAAAGTTACTGGAATTAAAACACTAGGGTAGATATATAAATAGCCAACAAACACATAAAAGGAGGCTGAAGTTTACTAATCATGAGGGAATGCAAATCAAAACTGAAAGGAGATACCACCTCATACGCAAGTGAATGACTACTGTCAAAAAAAAACAGAAAATAACAAGAGTTAGTAGGGATGTGGTTGCCAGGTGCTGGGAAGAGGAGGGAATGGGGAGTTATTGTTTAACAGATATGAGTTTCAGTTTTATAATATGAAAACAGTTTTGGAGATGGATATTGGTTGCAAACATTGTGAATGAATATATTTAATATCACTGAACTTCACACATAAAATGGTTAAGTGATAATTTTATGCTTTGTGTATTTTACTGCTATTGGGAGGGAAAAAAACAGTGTGGTGGGAGGGGGGAAGACAGACCTAAACAATTGAAACAGAATAGAGAACTCAGAACTGAACTCAGATGTATACAGTCAACTGATTTTTGACAAGGGAGCCAAGGATACATAATCAGGAAAGGACAGTTTTATCAACAAATGGTATTGGGAAAACTGAATATCCACATGTAAAAAGAATAAAATTGGGCCCCTATTGTACTCTTTTCATACTCTTCGTAGAGGATGAGATGGTTGGATGGCATCACCAACTCGATGGACATGAGTGTGAGCAAGTTCCAGGGGTTGGTGATGGACAGGGAAGCCTGGCATGTTGCAGTCCACAGGGGTGGCAGAGTCAGCCATGACTGAGCGACTGAACTGAACTGATCATACACTATTCACAAAATCAACCCAACACGGGTTAAAGACCTAAATATCAAGACCGGAAACTATAAAACTCTTCAAAGAAAACATAAGGAAAAGCTTCTTGACATTGGTTGGTCTTGGCAACAGTTTCTCAGATTTGATACCAAAAGCAACAGGCAATGAAACCAAACATATATCCAGGACTTTTTAACATAACTTCCAGGGGGGAAAAAAATCAAAATAATGATAACGAATACTTGCTATGTGCTAGGGTCTATTCTGTGCATGCATGAAGCTCAGTTGCTTCAGCCGTGTCTGACTCTTTGTGACACTATGGACCGTAGCCCACCAGGCTACTCTGTCCATGGGATTCTCCAGGCAAGAATACTGGAGTGGGTTGCTGTGTCCTCCTCCAGGGGATCTTCCCAACTCAGGGATTAAACCCAATCCTCCTATGTCTCCTGCATTGGCAGGTGGGTTCTTTACCACTGGCACCACCCGGAAAGTCCATGGTCTGTTCTAAGCATCATTTAATTCTCACAACAACACTATGAGGTAGATTCTATTAACACCCTCTTTTTACAGATAAGAACACTGAAGCAGAGAGTGATTAGATAATTTGCCCAAGGTCTCTCAGCTAATAACTGGAGTTGCTGGAATGCTAATCCAGGCAGTCTGGCTCAGTCTGTTTGCTTAATTACAACATAACACCATGCTAGTGAGAACTTCAGGCTTCCACCTTCCAACAAAGGAAGGAATTAAAAAAAAAAAAAAAACCACTAAATCATCCTAACTCCAATCAGTCTGAGATTAAGCAGTCATCAGAGTTTCCTTCCCAAATGAATCAGGGAAGCCATTTTGTGAGAGGAAT